TTTCCCTTTCTATTCCTTTAGGAGCATAGTGAAAAGAAACAGAGGGTCAGGTTCCAGCTCGAGATTTCGAGCAATCCTGAGGAGCAGCGCAGCAGCATATTACATTTGCAGGAGGCCGTGCGGCAGCATGTGGCCCAGATACGGCAGTTGGAAAAGCAGATGTATTCTATCATGAAGGTAATCACCTGGGCAGTCTAAGGACAGGGAGGCCTCCTAAGATGAGGGAGATCTCCTCTCAGTTTCTCCTGGCCTGGCTCCCTAGTCTTTGCAGGATGACAGCAAGAATGAGAACCTTCTTGACCTGAACCAAAAGCTTCAGTTGCAGCTCAGCCAGGAGAAGGCCAATTTACAGCTTGAAAGTGAAGAGCTTAATATCCTCATCAGGTGAAACAGCATTCTTTTCTGCCTTTTTCCAGTTCCCCAGCTGGAGTTGATTTCTTTGCCCACATTTTGATAGTCTTTACATCTAGTGAGTATTATCAAAGGCTGATGTAGTAGATTCAGGCATCTCTTCCTGATGAGCCTTAACTGCACTTAGTCAAAAGGTTGAGAACAAGAGACCCCTTCCTTTGGATCATCAATAGAGTACCTGCTGGGAAAGGAGAAAAATGGCTAGTTGGGAAAGATCACTTTTGTGGTCTTAATACTGTGTAGCTGAGCTGAAAATAAAATATCTTGAACTGATTAGAAAGGAACAATTATAGACATAATCATAGGTGTTAATTAGTGAAAAGAGATTACTTTATCAAGAAGCTGTAGAACTGAAAGATGGATTTGCATTCCTATGGCAGGATGTGAGAAGCAATCATTTGAAAAAAATGTAGAGGATAGCTGTTCCAGAATAGATCCATCTCTGGGTTTATCTTATGCATCATTCTAGAGCATTCCATCCAACCCCCAACCCAAATACTATTGCCCATATTGGCTTTGATCCTCCTGTCCATTTATAGGTGTTTTAAGGATTTCCAGTTGCAGCAGGCCAACAAGATGGAGCTGCGAAAGCAGCAGGAAGATGTGAGTGTGGTCCGTCGCACTGAGTTCTACTTTGCTCAGGCACGTTGGCGCCTGACAGAGGAAGATGGACAGCTAGGAATTGCTGAACTGGAGCTGCAGCGGTTTCTCTATAGCAAGGTATTGGGTATATACAATCACACAAAGGCAGCTGTATTGAGAGGCACTGGCCTATCTTAGGAGTCTAACTCACAAAAAGAGAAACAAAAAGGGGCTAGTTATTATATAACTACTAGAGGCCCAGTGCACGAGTGTGGGGGGGGGTGTCCCTCAGCCCAGCCTGTGCCCTCTCACAGTCCGTGACCACTTGCCTAAGCCCTCACCTAAGCCAGCAGGCGGACAGCCCCCAGGGGTCCTTAGTGCTGCCGGGGAGGCTCCCGCAACCGCTGCTATACTCGCCAGTTGTGAGCCTGGCTTCTGGCTGAGTGGCACTCCCCCTACAGAAGTGCACTGACCTCCATGGGACAGCTCCTGCATTGACTGTCTGCCCCCTGGTGGTCAGTGTGTATCATTATGCCGTTTGGTCGATTTGCATATTAGGGTTTTATTATATAGGATTATATAGGATTAATGATGGTATTAAAGGTTACTAATGAAACATGAGCAGAGTTCCCCTTAGATACATGCAGTTATAGATGAGAGTGATCAAATGTTTCCCTCAGTGAATAAGATTACTCCTAGAAATGTGGCCCAGAGGTAGGTATTCTAAGTCCTGCTTGAAATAGAACCTTAATTCTATACTGGCATTCAGCTTCCTGTAATTACCCATGGCATAGAGGAGAGGACATTGTTCATTCCCCCCTGACCCTGCCCCTTTCCAGGATGTTTGGGAATGAATGAGACTATTTTTGAATGTCATAGTGACTGGGAAATACTACTGTCATTTAGTGCCCTGGCCAGTAGGTCCCATGAAAAACATGGTATTATATGAGTTTGAAAGAGATATCAAAGGTTGGGATTAGGCATATGGAGAACCTGAAAACAAATAGGTTATGTAGCAATTCTCTAGCAAGCTCCTAAGAAAAGGCTTATTATAGTGGATTGGGGGTAATCTGTCTTTATAGGTGAATAAGTCTGATGATACAGCAGAACATCTTCTGGAGTTGGGCTGGTTCACAATGAACAACCTCCTTCCCAATGCTGTCTACAAGGCAAGTCTTATTTCCCCATTCCTAGCCCATTCACATACTTTCTAACACAGGCCATTTGTAATGGTCCTTCCACATAAACCCACTATGGGAAACAGTGTGGTGATCTGAGATGGTGAAAGTTTGCTCATCTTAGCAAGACTATTGCTTCTCCTTTTAGTCTGCAGAGGACTTGTGGGTTGATTTATCATTCTATCCTACAGGTAGTCCTGCGGCCCCAGAGCTCCTGCCAATCTGGGCGACAGCTAGCTCTCCGCCTATTCAGCAAAGTCCGGCCCCCTGTTGGGGGTATATCTGTTAAGGAGCACTTTGAGGTTAGTAAACAGTCCTTTGGAGATCCAGGAACAAAGGGAAGTCAAAAGCTATCTGTGTATTGTATCATGCTGTTAGGGGTAGGTAAACTGAGGGATGATGTCTGAACTTAATTGCTTCTTCAGCCTTTTTCCTCTTTAGGTAAATGTGGTGCCTCTCACCATCCAGCTGACACACCAGTTCTTCCATAGAATAATGGGCTTTTTCTTTCCTGGTCGAAGTGTGGAAGATGATGAGGTTGGTGATGAGGAAGATAAGTCCAAACTGGTGACTACTGGTGAGAACTTTTATGGTGGTGCTCCAGAAGACTGGGGTAGCATAGCAGCCTCAGAGACAGCTGAAGCTCCAGAAAGAAGGCAACAGCTGGTGTGCTTGCTTTTTCATAGGAATACCAGTGGTGAAGCCTCGGCAGCTGATTGCAACAGATGATGCAGCAGCACTGGGCCCTGGGAAGGGTGTGGCACAGGGCTTGAATCGGAGTTCTGGGGTCAGAAGGTCATTTCGAAAAGCCCCAGAGGTATTGGCCATGCCCCTAATGATAGAAAAATGGAAGTCCTAGGATACTCTGTTAAGCTTGGCTGGGGATTTCTTCTGTTGCCTTTGAGTTTACTCCAGGGATGAAGGGAGATGGGAGATGTTTGGGGGTCCCAAATTTCTTCTGATGGTTTCAGGGGCTCATGCTCCTTTCTTGCCTTTCCTAGCACCCTGTGGATGATATTGACAAGATGAAAGAACGAGCTGCCATGAACAACTCCTTCATCTATATAAAGATTCCACAGGTTCCACTGTGCGTCAGCTACAAGGTCTGCTCCTCCCCAGCACTTTCTAGAACAAGGGTGGGAAGGGAACCAGATAAGATCATCATAGATTAAAGACAGGGAAATAGTCTAGCTTGTGAAGTTGGGCCATGGGTGATGGCCCATTGTCAGACTGAGATAAGGGGAAATCCGTTATCTGTAGTTTGCTGCTATGTGGGAAGGTACTAGACTTGGACTCAAGTACTGGCTTGGACTAAAAGTGGCATATGATATGTTCTTCTCTTCCTCTTTCTCTTCCCTCCCCATTCTTCTCTTGCAGGGTGAGAAGAACAGTGTGGACTGGGGTGACCTTAACCTGGTGCTGCCCTGTCTGGAGTACCACAACAACACATGGACATGGCTAGACTTTGCCATGGCTGTCAAAAGGGACAGCCGCAAAGCCCTGGTTGCCCAGGTATCCCGGCAGAGTTCATGGCTGTTTGGTTAGCAGGATCTGGAAAGCAGATCCTTTGCTCAGGAGCGTTTCATTGTAGTGTGTATTAACGAGCAGCCTTGGGATGGGGCAGGTGGATAAGTGAGCAACTTTTATCCCTGCTCTCTCCATGACTTTGTTCAGATGATTAAATTGAATGTTTATGGTTTCGTATGTTAACTATTGATTTTTTAGGAAACAGGGCTGACACAAACTCAGGTTTAGAATGGCTCTAATTAGACTGTAAGCTTCTTGAAAGCAGAGATCATTTTAGGATTTGAAGGACTCCATCCATTGTGCCTGTGTGTAAATTTAATAAATCTTGATTGAATTGATTCACTGTGACTTATTTTGTCTGTCCCACTAATATTTACCTTCCCTTTTACTCCTCTCTGACCTATCAGGTAATCAAAGAGAAGCTAAGGCTGAAGCCTGCAACAGGGTCAGAGGTCCGGGGAAAGCTAGAGACTAAATCAGACCTCAACATGCAACAGCAGGAAGAAGAGGAGAAAGCGCGGCTCCTCATCGGTTTAAGTGCGGGCAACAAGAACCCTGGCAAGAAGTCCATTTTTGGCAGGCGCAAGTGATCCGGCAATTCAAGAATGGCTGCAATACAGGATCTGACTCTGGCTCAGGCCCCAGGGACTTGTGGGGTGGGAGGCACTTCCCTTTATCCACCAGGACTTGTTGGGGTAGGAGCCCACAGGGTACTGCAGAGAAAGGCACTACTCTTTAGCAACTGACCTGTTCTCTGCAGAGTATGGTGGATAATAATGCTGAGTTCTACCTCACACTGATCAGCAGGCTGAGGGCCAGAGAGGCATCAAGAGAACAAGACCCAGGGAATGGCCCCAGGACTAGGGTCTGGTTCCGTTGGGGTCAGCTGAAAGGGTGGGGGACAGTTCTGATCAAGTGTGATAAATTTTTATAAATAGACATATATAAATATATATATATATATATATATATTTCTCTAAGTGTAACTGCTCTCCCCCTGTGTCAGAAAGTTGGGGGGCAGAGGGCTGATCTGTCCCTCATTCCACTGCCTTGTATAAAAGAGGTATTCGTGTTATGGGGGGGAATCAGCCCCTCCCCCAATTTGTGCCAGGCTCACTTGGGGAGATAGGAGCCAGGGCTGGTCATAGGTCCCCCTGGGGTATGCCCTGGAGAATGGTAAAAAAATGATTTAAAGAGAAAAAATATATTTTAAATTTGATGCTGTTTTTTTTATGTGTGTGTTGAGTGCATGGGTTCAACCTGTATGTATCCTTCCCTCCTCATCAACCTAAGACACATCTCTAGCTGCCACTCTTATGAGAGGTTGGCTTCTTCCCTCCTGCCTAATAATATATCACAGATATTTCCCATCCCAGCTCTGGTGTGATACTGGCCCTATGCTGATAGTTCTCTGCACATTTTAGTTCTGGTTATAAACCTTTTCTTAACCAGGGATGATAGGATTTGAGGATAAAGGTGAGGTTTGGTTGTATCACTTGCATCTCTAGTTATGAACAGCAAGTAAGAGGCAGGGCTCATGTGTAATGTAGCATCGGGGGGAGGAACTGCTTATGTAACTGGGACAGCAGATTTAGTCAAAGGAGGAAGAGGCAGAGGCTGGGAATGGGAACAGTGAACTGTCGGCAGGGGCAACATGCCCAGGTGGCTCTTTCTAATAAGGTAGGCTGTGGGCTCTGGCAGCCTGTTTAGGGGAGGTGAAGGAAATCTGGGCTTGAGGCTGATGTGGAGCATGTTAGTGATGCCCACTGTGGGGGTGGGGAGGCTATACTGTGAAAGTATACCTCCATACTGGGAGGTGCAGGCTGAATCTTTGATGCCTCATGGGGAAAATGTCCAAATACTGCTTTCCTAGAGGATGTGAATTATAGTCAGGAAATCTAGACCTTCCTTGGTCCAAAGCAATAGTAGTAGTGGTGATTTTGCCTAGTCTCAAAAATATATCTCTCGGGTTGAGATTAGAGAGAGCACCTGCTGAGATGGGCAGAACCTGTAATGCCTGAGGGGCAGAAGGTTTAGAGTGGCTCCCTTGGTTCTCAGCAGGGTAGCAACATCCAGGGCCCCTGGGTCCGAGGCTGGAAGAGCCTCTGGTCAGGTGTGGGGACCACCAGGTCAGGCCTGGAAGAACTGTGGGGACTATGGGGGCATCTGTGCCAGCATCAGGAGCCAGCTTCACTGCTAGTAGAGAAGCCTCTGTCTGAGTGGCCAGTGCCTCAGTTCATCAACCTCTTTCTGCCGGAGTTTCCCATTAGGCCCCTTAGGGAGCATCAGCAGCTAAAGGTAGGTCAATGGAATCACTGGAAGGGGTCTCAGTCTTGGTGAGAAATTTAGAAATAACCAGAGTCTCAATTTCCCTGTTCTCCATTTTTCGGTACAGGTTTTAGGCCTTGTGGCTAAAGGCTCCTTTGGAACTGTCTTCAAGGTGCTAGACTGTGGCCAGAAAGCAATATTTGCAGTGAAGGTAGGGACCTAGATATTCTTCCACATTATTTTCTAGTCCCTGCCTCCAGTTTTGGTTCCAGAAAGATTGGGAGGAATAAACAATTCAATAGCACTATTCCCCTCTAGGAGTCATCATTTCTATCCTTTTATAGGTGGTGCCCAAGGTCAAGGTCCTCCAGAAGGACATCCTGAGGCAGTGCAAAGAGGAGGTTAGCATCCAGGTACGCACAGAGCCCTGGGAAGGATCCTAGGAAGAACTAAGGTGGAGAAAGCACCACTCTTGTCCAACTGTCCTGGTTTTCCTGGTTCTGCCCCTCCCTTGGCTTCAACCAAGTAGATCCTGGGAAAAGTAGCTATCAGCAGAGTTAGTCTAAGTCCTTTTTTTGTTTGTGGTTGGGAACTGGTTCCCACTCATTTTCTGAAGCCAATATAAGCCTGGCATGGACATTATCAGAGAAGGAAAACTATAAGCCAATCTCACTCATGAAAGTAGATACAAAAATTATAAACAAAATAATAAGCAATACATAAGAATGAAAATAGATCACAACCAAGTTGTATTTATTCTAGGAATATGAGATTGGGTTAACACTTAAAAAAAAAATCAATGTAGGAACTAATGCTTCCAGTCAAGATGGAGTAGAGGGACTGGATTTACCCTCACCCATGAAACAACCACAAAAAAGAAACCACTTAATAGAAAATGAAGAAAGGAGCTCACAGGCACTTCACAAAAGCAGACATCCAAGTGACCTGTATGTATGTATGTATGTATGTGTATATACACACATACATACACACGAAAAGGTGCTTAACATCCTTAGTCACCAGGGAACTGCAAGTTCAAACCAGAATAAGATATCCCTACATTCCTACCAGAATAACTAAAATAAAGGCACTGGAGACAGAAAAGAATTATGTAATATTTTTATAATATGTAGAAAAAAAAATTTAGGATTTCCATCAAGGTTATTAACTATAATTCTTGATTTTTAGTGGAATCATCAGTGTTTATTGTTTTGCTTATTTAAATTTTTAAATTTGTTTTAAATAAAATATAGCTCTTTTAATAAAAAATTTTTCATTTTAAAAAATGCAAAAAGAGAAGCTTAATGACACTTGATATAATAACTTATTTTGAGTTTCATTGTAATTTTAAAAAGCTTAAAATGAATTACTGATTAACTTAAAATTTTATGTCAAATATATCTTGCAAAAAATTTTATGACAATGGTTTTCTATTATGATTTGAAATTTTAAAGAAAAACTACACGAGCACATGCAAACATACAATTAATCTGTTAGCATATACAGAATTGGAATGTCAAATCATTCAACACTGAGTCATTAGTATGTAAGTACTTAAAACTAAAATATCTGCTAACATGGTTTGGCGATAAAATACACAAATAAGTCTATTAGACAAAAACAACTAAACTTTAAAATGAAGATTATGATGAGTTTGACAAATGTTAGGTGACAATTTAGCAGTCAGGGATGGCACTTATGTGAGCAAGCAGGATGAATGAACATATACTTTAAAGTTTTAGGTGACATTCAGCTTTTACTACAAAAGGGGACACATTCCCCCCATTAGAGGCATTGACACACTGTATGCTGTACCTGGCACATCCTGGGGGAGCTCAGATGCCACCTTCTTCTTTACCATGTTACTGCTATCATGGGTTTCTGAGACACCGCACGGTGTCTTTAGAGGGACTAGTTTCTTCTGAAGAAGCATTTGTTGTGTTGTCACCAAGATTTGCCGACAGTTACCTTTATCCCCAACTTCTGTTGGCATACAGTAAAATGCATAGTCAAATCTTTCTCCTCCCTACCTCCCTCTCAATCCTCCTCCCCCTCTTCCTCCTTGTGCTGGGTAGGGGCCTCCCCCTACGCAGGTGCAGCAGCTTCCTCCAGCACTGCTGCCCCTCCTGGGCGAGCTCAGCCTCATCTTAGGCGTCACCTCAGCCTGTGGTGCCAGGGAAATCTCTCCAGCATGTCCCAGTGTGTTTCTTAGTATTATGCTGGTTCCTGGATTACCAGGCAGACATTGACTTCTTGGTTGCCTTGATCTTCAGTTATCCTGTTCTTCCCTAATCTCCTGTTTTCTTTGTCCCTAGCGACAGATTGACCATCCTTTTGTACACGGTTTGGGAGACAGCTGGCAGGGAAAACGGCACCTCTTCATTAGTGAGTGGTCTCTCTCCTCCTTCCCAAGGTCCCTCTACCGTTCTCCCCACCTGAGATTACCCATCCCTTTGGCTTGTTCTGCCTTTGTTCTGTTCCCTTTCTCACAGCACTTCTCTCCTGAAGGGAGAGGGAACATATAGCATGTGGCATCAGGTTGGGCAGGAGGCCTATAATGCCTTGAGCCCGGCACAGTAGCCCTCAGATAATGCCTAGACTTTTGGTACTTTGCAGTGTGCAGCTACTGTAGCACAGATCTGTACTCCTTGTGGTCTGCTGTTGGCTGCTTTACTGAGGCTTCCATCCGCCTCTTTGCTGCTGAACTGGTCCTGGTGCTGTGTAAGTGAAACGGGAGTGGTAATGGAAATGAGGGAAGAATTAATCGAATGGGGGCCAAAAAAAAAAAAAAGATCAAGGAACAGGGATAGGGATGGGGTGGGACTACCAGGGAAACTGGAAAGGACAGGAGCGCTTCAGCACACCCCCTGCTTGCTGTCATCCACAGGCTATCTCCATGACTTGGGCATCATCCATCGGGATGTGAAGGTAGAGTTAAGTGCTTTTTTTCTTTGTCTGAGGAGGTGCCTTAGTAAGTTCCACAGGTCCAAGAAGGCATGGGGGAGCTGAGAACAACTCACCTTGGGACCCTCGTGGGTGCTAAGGATTTGGGCAAGGACCTTCCATGTATAGACCTGAATGTTGAGTAGGGCATCTTCTTCAGCTGGGGGGTATACACGATGAAAGAGGGTTGAAATGAGTAAGATGAATAATACTTTCTCACCTGTGATTTTTCAGATGGAGAATATCCTCCTGGATAAACGAGGTAAATCCTTTTCTTTTCCTAGCCCCGGAATGCGAGGTACTTCAAGTTTGGGAATGCGCCAGGGCTGATGAGGGATGGAACAGAGTGGTGCTGTTGCATTATCTTTTATATAGGTCATCTGAAACTGACAGACTTTGGTCTGTCCCGCCACCTGCCCCAAGGAGCTCGAGCCTATACTATTTGTGGCACTCTTCAATACATGGGTAAGAAAAAGGCCAAAGCAGGTGGGTAAGAATTGGGCAAGAGAATAGGCAACAGATGTCAATGACAAGTATCTTTCAAATCTGTAGCCCCAGAGGTCCTGAGAGGAGGGCCTTACAACCATGCTGCTGATTGGTGGTCCCTGGGTGTTTTGCTTTTCTCTCTGGCAACTGGAGAGGTGAGAGAATGGTAGTGATGCTGGGCAGAAAAGAGAGGAGTTTTGTCTTGTGGTGGGAAGAAGGAAGACCTTAGGAAACCTTGCCTTTTTCTTACTAAGAAATGACACCCTCCCACCCCTCAACTTAGTTCCCAGTGGCTGCAGAGAGAGACCACGTGGCCATGCTGGCAAGTGTGACCCACTTTGACTCTGAGATCCCAGCTTCTCTTAACCAGGGGCTCTCACTTCTACTCCATGAGGTAAGGATGAGCACTACTTTCCTTTTTCATTACCAAACTAACTAATCACTCTCTCCTTTCCCTATCATTGAAGTGGTATTTCCCCATTCCTGTGATTATTTGGGGGGGAGGTGGTGGCAGCTGGCCGAATTCAATTTCATCAAGTACTATGTGTCACTACTTGCCCTCTAACTAGCATTTCAAATTTCATTCCTGAGTTCCTGGTCCTTCAAATATCCTAGCCATCCATAACATACAGGTCACTTCTGAGAGAGTGGGCCAGTGCTGCCTTCTTACCAATACAGCTCCTTTATTCCTGTGTTTGCCCCCAAATTAGCCTATCTTCCTCTTTTACAAGTCCTTTCCTCTTTAGGGTTCTTTTTTCTGCCCTCCACAGCTCCATGAACTTATTTTTCCCTTTCCAGCTTCTCTGTTAACAGCCCCTTTCCCATCCCGGTCCCTATTCCTTGTTGCTCTGTTTCCCTTCAGCTCTTATGCCAGAATCCCCTCCAGCGTCTACATCATTTGCATCGATTCCAGGTCCACCCTTTCTTTCGGGGTGTGGCCTTTGACCCAGAGCTCCTACAGAAACAGCCAGTGAACTTTGTCATGGAGACTCAAGCTACCCAGCCTAGTCCATCAGAGTCCATGCTGTTCAAGGACTTTGACTGTAACCTGGAGTCCTATCTGGTCTACCCTGGACTTGCTTGAGCCCCCTCTACTATAGACTGGGGCCCATCTGGAAACCTGAGCATCTCCTCCACTGCCAACTCAGTATGACCACCTCGATGACCCAGTTTGTTTTTACTTTGTAGCCTCTTATTGTTCTTCTAGGCCAAACATGTCAAACATGCGGCTGGGCCGTGAGTGTGACATGCTTGTTCTAGGCCAGCGGTCGCCAACCTTTCAGACCTCATGGACCACCAGTGGTCCGTGGACCACCAGTTGGCGACTGCTGTTCTAGGCATTTTACCTGAGTTTAAATCTTGGGCATTCTGTTATTGGCAGCCACGACTGACCTAGCTCTTCCCCTATTATACAGCACACCTCTCAATTCAACATCTCAGATCAAAGTGTTGACTTTTTCCTCTGCTTTATTTCTCTAGTGCTCATACCCTGAAGCTTTTAGCCAGAGGCTTATTTCACTTTCCCCCCCTCCTTGTTTTTGAATCACATTTCTTTCCTTGAGCAATAACAACACTTGATGATTTTCCAAGGTGCTATTTATGTGTTTAACAGGCTTGTTAGAAGCAGTATGAATATTTTTCAGAGGTCTCAAAAGCTGGCATTTCAACCCGCAGGTATACACCTAAAGCATATGATTCTGGGGGCCAAAGCCAGTCTGTAATAAATTTAAAAAAAATTTTTTAAAGTGAATTATAACAGCCAAATGTGAGGAAGAGAATAAATAGGGACTGAAACATGGGTGGGGTAAATGTCTTGAGAGGTAATTGAAATAGTTTTACAAATTTCTTCCAAATCAAAACCCCTTTGAAAGACATTAGGATTCTTATATCGATCATTGTCCTACACATCCCAGGATTCAGTTCTAATGGGCAAACCAAGGGATTAAGAGGCATGACATCAACCTTAAAATTTTTTATTTTTATTTTTGTTAATCCTCACCTGAGGATATTTTTCCATTGATTTTTAGAGAGTGGTAGGGAGGGGAGAAACACAGAGGGAGAGAAACATCGATTGGCTGCCTCCCGCACGTGCCCAGACCAGGGCAGGGATCCAGCCCCCAACCCAGGTGATCGAACACATGATCCTTCAATCCTCAGGCTGATGCTCTTATCTACTGAGCCCAACTGGCTAGGGCTCAATCTTAAAATTTAAGAACCTTTTCCCTTAGTGAGAAAAGTCATCTGGACCTTAAATTTGTATATGTTTCTGGCCTTTATTCTTTAAATTTTTTTAACTTCTCTAAAGCTTCATTTTTATTATTCTTCAATTATATCTGATCTCTTTTTCCGAACCAAAAAGAGTCTGGCAAGTATTCTGTGTACTTCTTTTAATTCTGTCCCTGGACTATGCCATATTTTCCCTGTACATTGCTAGTATTTTATTGGCCTCTTTAGAATTGCTTTTTCTGGGTTGCACTTTGGCAATTTGTATCAAATCCCTATGAAAGTTAATTGCTATAGAAACTGTAAAGGGTATTTATGCTATAATTCATAATGTTCTTTTTAAAGATGCATAGGATAAATTTTCTCTGAATCCAGTTGTGCTTTTCCTGAATTGCTGTTTGGTTTTACCTTAAAGAAGCTAAATATTCTACTGACTGTATTTTTCTCTTCATATTGATGCTAAACTACTTAGAGCCAATTGGTGGCTGCTTCCATCCAGCAAGTGTTTAGGACTTCATGTTATGTATATTGTAAGCTAGCCACATTCTTGGTTTCCTTTATTTTCCTATGTTTTAATTTTTTTATCTTACTATATTATCTGCATCTTTGTAAGCCTTTTGGGAATGAGGTTGGCATATAAATAAATAAAAGAATGTATCTAATCTTTTTTATTATTTCATTTATTTCTCTTAGATGCTTTTTAGCTTTTAAAAAAACATTTATTATTGATTTCAGAGAGGAAGGGGCAGGGAGAGAGAGATAGAAACATCAATTATGAGAGAGAATTGTTGATCACTGCCTCCTGAATGCCCCACACTGGGGATCAAGCCCACAACTCTGGCATATGCCCTGACTGGGAATCGAACCATGACCTTCTAGTTCATAGGTTGATGTTCAACCACTGAGTCACGCCAACTGGGCTGGCTGAGCTTTTTAAGCTTTTATTTACATTTAAGTTGCAGTGACCAGACTGTACATTGGATAAAAACCATGAATACTGCCCGGCCAGTGAGGCTCAGTGGATTAAGTGTCATCCCATGCACCAAGAGGTCATCGGTTCCATTCCTGGTCAGGGCACATACTTGGGTTGTGGCCTCACTCCCCAGTAGGGGGCATGCAGTAGGCAGCCGATTGATGATGTTTCTATCTCTTTCCCTCTCCCTTCATCTCTTTAAAATCAATAAAAACGTATTAAAAAAACAACCCTTGAATACTAGAAATAGAAATAATGATTTCTAAAATAGTAGTTAACAGTATTGGAATTTAGACCTGGTTCCTGGATCCACCAATACTATCTCGGTGTCTTTACAGAAGTCATTGTAACCTCTCTGGATTTTAGTTTCCTATGTATGAAATGACTGGTTTATAGCCACTAGTTTTTGGGTTTTTTTTAAATCCTCACCGAAGGACATGCTGAGAGAGAGAGAGAGAGAGAGAGAGAGAGAGAGAGAGAGAGAGAAAGGAACAGAAATATCGATGTGAGAGAGAAACATTGAATGAACTGGCAATCTTTTGGTGCACAGGACGGCACTCACCCAACTAAGCCACTCCGGCGGGGCTAGCCACTGGTTCTTAATTGTGGGGGATGGGTTTCAGATATCTGTGATGCTTTTTCAAAGGACAGATTATTTTATGAAACTATGTGTCTGGCCCAGTGTTAATTAATGTTCAGGTCACCCAACATCATATAGCTTCTCTGGTCATGAAGTGTATTGGGTTAAAGTCTTTAGCACATGGTTAACATAATGTCACTAGGTCCCTTTCCTAGGTCATATTAGATTGCTTAGAGACTATGATTATATAAGTGTAGTTTGAATAATTTCTTACCAAGTAAGGATATTATTATCATACTCTTTTCAATCGATGGTGCGCTACAACAGTGATTTTCAGGGTAGTGTGGAGGGGATGACAGAAAATCAAAGTTTCAGACAGTATAATTTGAAAAGAGCATTGTGCCATGCGCCCTAGTTTTGATATGTTCATCCCCGGAAGACATTCTTTCCATCACCCTCTCCTATCATTCAGAATCACTGACCTATAAATGTAATACCTTTATTTATTTATATTAAATTCACTTACATTTTTAAAAATATACAACCTGAAATGATCTTTTAAGTTTAACGCTATGCTTTGATTTTTCATTACCTAGAAGAAAACAGATACACCTGTAAATATGGATATTTTACCCTGTACTCCCTTCTTTTTTTAAAAAAAAATTCTCACCTGAGGATATGCTTGTTTTTTATTGATTTTGAGAGAGAGAGAGAGACATTGATTGGTTGCCTGTCGTACATGCCCTGACTGGGGATTGAACGAGCAGCCTTTTTGGTGTACAGGACAACACTCCAACCAATTGAGCCAGCCAGCCAGAGTTCCCTTCTGCCTTTTTTTTTTTTTTTTTTTAAAGAATTTAAGATCAGCCTCAACACCAATCCTTATATTCCTGTTCTAGAAAAGTGTCTTTGTAGCTCTACTCAGTTTCTCACCTCTAAACTAAGTTACTTTATCATATATTGAACTGTTCATTTGTTTACTTGTTCATTGATTTTAAAAACTGGTAATCTCAATTCCTTGGTTACCTCTTTTTTTAAAATCCTCATTTGAGGATATGTTTTATTGATTTTAGAGAGAGAGGAAGGGGGAGAGAGAGCAACATTGATCAGTTGTCTCCCTTACACACCCCAACCAGGGATGGAACCCAAAACCTAGGTATGTACCCTGATTAGGAATCAAACCAGAAAACATTTTGGTGTACAGGTCAATGCTCCAACCAACTGAGCCACCCAGCTGAGGCTCTTTGGTTACTTCTTAAAGTAGTTTTCAATGTAAAAATCTTGTCAAAGCTTTTAAAAAAATTAAATTAATGAAATAAAATAATACTCATTGTATTATTAACCTCTCGAATGTGCTGTATTATGTCTCTCCCTCAACTCACATGCTGAAGTCCTAATCCCCAGTACTTAAGAATGTGACTGCATTTGGAGATAGGGTCTTTAAAGATGTAATTAAGTTAAAATGAGGTCATATGGTGAGCCCTAATCCAATATGATGGGTGTCCTTATAAAGAAGGGGAAATTAGGACACAGACACACAGAGGGAAGCCCATATGAAAATACTAGGAGACAGACATCTATAAGCCAATGAGAGAAGCCTCAGAAGAAACCAACCCTGCTGACACCTTGATCTCAGACTTTTAGCTTCTGGAATTATGAAAAAATAAATTTCTGTTGTTTAAGCCACCCAGTCTTTGGTACTTTGTTATGGCAGCCCTAGCAAATTAGTACAGCCGCTATAAAGAGTTCTAATAGATTAACCAAGAATGATTTGAAAATAAAAACATACCTTCTTTCCTATAGGTTGGTTTTGCTTATATTCTGAGAACATGTTATTATTTCAGATTTCACTAGCCTCTCTCTGAGTTTTGTTGGTTTATAGAATTGTCACATTGCCTCCTTTGTTCAGTACTCCATCATAACAGTAGTAAGGCTAATAATTCCATGGTTTCATCCTTGAGTTCACTCAGAAGAACTGCCTGGTGGATATTTTTGAATTGCTGATTTGGGTTATGGAATTGGATTTTTACAAAATAAGTAATCTCTAATCCTAAAATTTAAAGAAGTACAATTGTTTTTAAATAGTTGGGTCCCTACAAAACTTAATTCCAAATACATTAAGGCTTTAAATGTGAACATCAAAACATTAAGAATCTCAGAAGAACATTTGGGAGACTAGACCTACAATCAGGGACTGGAGGAGATACCTAAACCAAGAAAGAAAATGAAAACACTATAAAAGAAAACGGAAAACATTTACATAAAAAGTTGATGAATGAATCACTCAAGAAATCCAGATGCTCTGAAAGAAAAAACTTCCTGACCACATAAGTTTGATCTTTGTATGGCTCAAGATTGCATTAATAAAGCCAATGGACAGCCTAGCTGGTGTGGCTCAGCATTGACATCGACCCAGGAACCAAGAGGTCACTGATTTGATTCCTTGTCAGGGCACATGCCCAGGTTGCGGGCTCAATCCCCAGCAAGGGCTGTGCAGAATGTAGCTGACTGATGTTGATGTTTTTCTCTCATTGAAGTTTCTATATCTATCCCTCTCCCTTCCTCTCTTTCTAAAAATCAATAAAAACATTTAAAAAAATTAATAAAGCCAATGGACAAAAAAATAGATCTTAAAAAATACAATGTGATGACAGTTAATGTCTATAACACAGCCCGGCCACAGTGGCTCAGTGGATGAGCATTGACCTATGAATCAGGAAATCACATTTCCATTCCTGGTCAGGGCATATACCCAAGTTGCAGGCTTGATCCCTGAGGCAGCAGAGCAATGATTCTTTGTCATCATTGATGTTTCTATCTCTCTCCCTTCCTCTCTGAAATCAATGAAGATATATATATTTTTTTAATGTCTATAACAGAGAACTCTTACAAATCAGAAAACATTTTTTTTTTTAAGGGCAAGGAATATGAAGTGACAAGTCAATCAGATCTATATCAGTTGACTTAGAGGCTCTATACAAGACATTGATAAAGAAATGCATAAGTGTAAGAAATTATGTCAAATTTTTGTAAAGAACTCAATGCCTTCTTTCCCAACCTTGTGTGTATATGTGTGTGTGTGAGAGAGAGAGAAAGAACATGAAAAAGAATGGAAGGAAGAGAGGAGTAATGCAAGTGGAAAGAGAACAGAAAAAATAGAAAGGCACTAGCTCTCAATCCCAGAGACCCCAGTCTGCATATCAGTTAATTTTGTGGATAAAATAAATGTGTGTGTGTGTCGCCCAGCTGGTGTGGCTGAGTGGTTG